TGCCTAGTGTGGAGACCGCGGTAATCATAAAACTTGTTGCTGTCATTCTGTCAAATAAACTTTATTTTATTTTTTATGTATTTTTAAGTCTTGGTGATTTTCCTATTGCTAATTTTAGGCATATAGGCAGGCATTATATAATGAGCATCGTCTCCGATGGGTCGTTATTATCCGGGTGGAGTCAATTGAAGGTATATAAAGTTCCAATTCCAAGAATAGCGTGAATTCTAGATATTTTGTCAGTTCCGAATATTTCGTCAATTCAAATCCATTATAAAGATCTATCACACAAGAAAACAGCTCATGTGGACGGCGAATCGTTAAATTGAAATATATTAGTATTTTTTTTTATTTTAATGTAAGTGTGCATTTGACCTCCATCTCACCTGATGGAAAGTGACGATGAGGTCGACGATGGAGCATGCACACCTGGATAATGCCTATTCACTCTCGCCTTGAAAACGTCCAATATGTCCGTATACATTTACAGTTTTATAGTACTCAATTCCGAATGCAATAAAGATTGTATTTACAAATAAAATGAAAGAAAAGTACATTGGAATACCTGAATATCAAAATTGCTAGAGGTGGATCACTTAGGATATTTTCTACAAGTATTGTTGTGGACCAGCTGTTTAGGTTGGACTTAATTTTCGGGAATGACCATAATCTTCATTCCGGATTTAATTAGCGGTTAATCTAGCGGTTGGACAACATAGTTTTGCTTGTTTTTCTATCGACGAGCTTCCATATTTTGTTCTCATCAAGAAGTTTAATTCTTTTCTGGAAATTCCTTTTCCCGATAAAAGGTATTAATTGTTATTTATCACCCACCTCGTATTATTAATTTAGTTCTGTTTTTATAACCTCTTCAATTATTTCTTGAGAACATTCGTAATTGTATCTTACTCGACGACACGACTCCAGAATCCACACAAATTTGATTCAAAGTGTATTCCATAGCATTTAAGTTTATTTGAAAAGAGCAATCCCTAGAGTTTCTTGCTCGTTCTTCTCAAGGAGGTCAGCGTAGTGAACGGGCAGTAGCTTAGCTTAAATGTGACGTTTTCAAGTGTAAATTTATTTTACCTATGGAATAAATAATCTTTGACTTTGACTCTGATTTTCTCACGACTTTTCCTTGTTTCGCTCGCCTCGCTGTTTATCATCTCTATATTTTTGTATTTTTATTTCTATTCTTTTCCTCAAAATACAGGTTATTTCATTATTATATTATTATACTTTACATTTAGTAATATTAATGTTTTGTCTGTTTCGATATCAGAAGTCGTAAATTGATTTGTATTATTATTTTCAAAGATTGAACTCACGTCTGTAGTCCAGTTTCTTCGGTAAACATACCGTTCAAGCTTTGATATGGTATAATCTTGATCTTCATATTGAGCTTTTTCACTTTTTTTGGGATCATCCAATTTGCGTTCTCATTTAGCTTTGCAAAGTTTTGTTTTGCCTTTAAATAAAACGGTTTGTTGACATGAATATATTTAATAAAAACGTTGTATATTTAATAAGAATGCCGTTTCTTGTGCACCATTGTTTAAAACTGCGGTTTTGTGTTCGCAACTGTAATTACTCCTTATACTTTTCATTTTCTCTTCTATTCTCGTCTATCTGAATCGTGTATGTACCATGTTAATAGCAATTTTGTTGCCTTGCCCTTCAAGCATGCTGTTTAGATGATCAAGGCGTCTATACCATAGGTTATCATCATTATTGTTAGCGGTTATGTAACTTCCCGTCATTATGTTTGGTGACAACATGTTTGTTTCCTGTCGGCTGGCAATAAATATTATTATATACAGATTTGAATTTTTATCACTCCTTTTCGAATAAAGCATATTTTTGGATTTAACGGATTGTGAGTTAAGTTTGGTCAAATCAGGGTATCAATTGTTATTTTTTAAATTCTCTTATACCTGCTTAGTGTAATATCTGTAATCAGAAAAGTATTTTCTAAAATGGTCATTATTTGTTGTTGGTACGAAGACTAACTAAATTTCTCTTTTGACAAAGCATGATTTTATCATATGAAAGTCATAAACATAATATGAAATTCATGAAACTAATTATGCATGCGTAAAATTTTATAAATCTTCTATACATATAAGTATAAAAAAGTTATCGACTAACTTGGCATGCGTGGACATTCCGCAACTGCAAAACAACCAGTACCCCTACAGGAGACGATTTAACATCACGATTGAAGAGCCTTCATCCGTCAACCGAAATTCGCGAAGTAGACCCTGACCAATGAACTGGTACAGAAACATCAACTCCCGATGTGACTGAGCGAGAACAGATATCTGTAGTCCAGCCACCTGATCAAATACAAGTACTAGGGTCAGAAGAATCGCAGCAGTAAAAAGTTAAAAAATTGCGCAAATGGCGTGTCACCTTCTTGCCCTGCTTCTTTTTCTTCTTCATTGCTGGGAATGTCGCGAATCACGCGATAATCAATCATTTGGTGAGTACACGAACTTCACCCATTTTTTGTATTTGGTAACACTGCTTTGTCTTTGCTAACTTGTTACTTTGACACTACCGCGACGGCAGTATAAGTTCTACCGTGCTTCGATTAACTAGTTGAATTCGTTAACTATAGTAGATTTCCTAGACGGGGAGTCCACGCGTTAATGAACGCTTTAAGCGACGAGACGATGCGGCTTCTCGATGTGCTTATTCTGGGCAAAATCCCAGCTAGTTATACATATTTTGTGCCCAGTTTTCAACAATGAATAAAGTAAATCAGTACAGGGTACAAAAAACCGACCTCAAAAGTCATTTATCGCTTAGTTTGCTACACTTACAAGTGGAATATTTTCTTCGAATTTAAATGGGACCACTACTAAGGTAATCTCTTTCCAACAAAAGAAGAATCATAGAAATCAGGTCAGAAATTTCAAAAGTTATCGCGTAACATACAAAAAAACACACACAGTCGAATTGAGGACCTCCACGTTTTTTGAAAACGGTTAAAAAGGCATCGAAAGTCGCATTCTGGACTATCATGCCCAAGAGGCAAGCAATGCGTCGGCTTATTCTTTGGAGGAAGTAGCTGCCAACCCCCTGCTCGTATCTACTCTTGCATTCGTCTACAGAAAAACAATTCATTTTATGGTGGCGCTTCACATACCTATTTGTATTTGCGTATTTGATATATTTGGCAAACAATCACCATATGTAGATAGCAAGTGTGCCAAGTATTTATTTGCCTTGTTTGTCTATTCGACAAATACAGCAAACACCAAACTCGTGTTACGTCGCGCTGGTCGGTCGGCAAGACTACTTGTTCTCAGGACATAATACATTTCGTTCGTTGTTCTTCGCTGTGGATGTCAGATCGACGGTTGCTCGATTTTTAACCGATTTCAAAAAAGGACGTGAACAGATTTTCATGATTCTTTTTTCTTGGAAAGAGGGTACCTCCGCAGTGGTCTCATTTAATTTTGAAGAAAATCATCCACCTCTAAGGGAGCTGGTCACGCATGAAGATTCATTTTTATAAATAGCGCCTAAATTTTAGTATAAGGAGCAATTATTTTATTGGTTGGTTTTGCTATTCTCCAATTTTTTATCTCTCAATATACTTTGAGAAGTCAGAACCGATTTTTGTTATCTCCTGTGTCAAGTTCCGTATAGTGGCGAACTAGGGGACGAATCCGGGTTTGCGCTCTTTCCGGTAAACGATTTGAATAGAACTTGGTAATTATATGTAATTCCACATACTTTTGAGGTTGGTTTTTTTAGTACTCTGTACTGAGATTATATATTTCCGAAATGAAACAGGATATATAAATTCTCAAAATACCTTTACATGGCCTTAGTTTGAATAAGGAAATTATTCTCGTAACGTACTTGTTCTCTTTTCGCTATATAATCACATCGGAGTCTGTTCTTCGGATGAGTCGGTTTGTCTGTACGTCAAATATTTTTCCAAGTACATCAAAAACCCTATAGCCAATACAAGAAGCCATGTGAAGTGCCACACCATTTCATAATAATAAAGCAACAATATCGCGACTAAAACAAATCGATATTTAAAATGTGAAGAACATGATCATTAGGAGAACATTACAAAATGCGATTTGGGCAACGCTTTGCAATACTGGATTGCGCGCACGCAACATTGACATGGTTGCCGGTTGCGAGGTGCCGTGGAAATCATCTCGGGCGAGATCTTTTTTGCTTACTTGGATATACATAGTAACTAGATATATTAAATGTTAGTTAGTTTAGAATAAAATAAACGCATAGGGAACGTTTGTGGCTACATGGATCGAAGTTGTCTGTTAACAAAAGATCAATAACAAGAACTTGCTTTCTTAAAAAAATCTTTATAAAAAATGTTTTGTCAGATATGCTTACTGTTGGGTAATTTTCCGAAAAATTTTATATATTTAGTGGAAATTTTTCCGGAAAAATTCCCAAAAAATTACAAAAATATAATTTAGAACTTTAGAAGGCTCTTATTTGTTCTACGTTTAGAAATATCTTTCGAAGTTTTGTTTAGCGTCAATTATAAAATAAACTTTGCATCTAAAAGCCACTTATAGAAAAAAGAGATTTAAAATTATTTGAAAATAACAAAATATTAGTGCACGCACCAACGATATGCCATTAATAATAATAACGCACACACTCAACATAGTCCCGCACTAGGGAAACCCTGAGGCGCGGGTGCCATGGACACACACATAGACACCTAAAATTACACCCAAACTCGTGAGATAAATAAAGGGCTGGGTGGCGCCGTTCGGCCGCCGTTGAAGAACTGCTGCATGTTATAAATACCAAAAAATTGCTATGGCTATGTTGAATAGCAACTTGATTGCCCAGTTAGACTTACTAATTTATAACATGCATTAATGATAAAGTAAAGCATGGCCGTAAAACCTGCATCCCGGAGAAAGTTTACATAGGTTTTTCGAAGCGTTATAAGAACAAGAATTAAAGGAAAGATCATTACTGTGCGTACTCACTCGAGGAAGAACATATCTGGCCTGCGCCGGCGCCGCGTGTCCATAAACGATCGGTTGTACCACATGTCACTTTATATTCGTGTACACTAGTCTATAACACAGTATAATTTGCTAATTTGAACCGACTTTAAAAAAAGAAAGAGGTTCTCAAATCGATTGTCATTTGTGAACCGACTTCGATGATTCTGAACTTCTAATTGGAAAGGGAATACCTCCCAAGAGTTAAGAGTTCCAATTCAAATTTAAGGAAAATATTCCATCTCTAAGGGCAGCAAATTAGTGAATGGATCCGGTTTATTGGATTTCACACTTTCCGTCAACCGATTCCAATAAATTGACAAATAGATGTAATTCCACAAATTTTTGAGAACGGTTTTCTTCTATATCAACATAATGAATACCAAATTTTACCAAATACTTTTCTGTTAGCGTAGTTACCTAAACAAGTGCACAGAAAGGCAACACTTTCACTAATGCATGTTGTGCAGTTAGTGTACATAGTAGGTACCAATGCTTAGTGCATTGTGCAATTAGCGGAAACTGTTCGAAATTACGTAGGCTGACGTTATATCGACTTGACGAAACGCGGTATAGCCTAGACAAAACGGGTTTATTTTAAAATCCCGTCTTTATTTTGATCTCTTGGTTGAGGACGTCAAGCAGAAAGGCAAGAACGTATATTATATGTATTTATTTATGTTGTAAATATGTTTTATTTTGCGTGGAGCCAAGGTGTCGCAGCTTAAGACTCTATAGCACCTCAAGTGTCGTATAATATAAAAAAGTGTTCAGTCAATCACTTTGAAAAAAATATACAGTAAAATTGAGGATATAATAAAAAAAACCACAAACTTACCTCGAAGTTTTACAAGAAAACCGCTGTATTCAATAAGTACTTTACATAAACCAATGATTTTTTATATATCACTGAACAAATAGATGTGTATCAAGAAATGTATATCGTCTAAAATACGTATAAACGACATATATTTTTCAAATGGGTTTAATTTCGTTTGTAAAGAAATAAATAATAATTCCTCTGCTGCTCGACCCAAGCAAAATGAACCGTATTAGTACGGGAAAAATTAATTCGAGCTGAAGTAGCACCTGGTAGTAAGCTAAGGTAAAATGGTATGGCAAGCCTGTCCATAACAGTTACTGTGCCACTCGTAGCTTTAAATCACAAAGACCTGAGGGGGACTGCCACTGCGCCTGTCACCCTGAGACATAAGTCGACAAGCCCCATGTGCCTGTAAATTCACCAGCACCATTACTCTTCAAAAACAAAATCAAATTCAAAATAATCTTTATTTCATAGTTAAGCACTACTACACTTGAAATCGTCACATTGGTTAAACTCTACCGCTCATTCGTAAGGCAGATTCCCCTGAGAAGAATGAGCAAGAAACTATAGGGGTTGTTCTTTGTAAACAACATTTGTACGCATTCAACATTTACAATTTTTTTTTTTGCATTCAAACTAAAGAGACCGAGACTTCCTCCATGAGCTAAACGGGTTACTACCACGGATTTTTGTCATCCAAGTACGCAGAAGTTGTATAATTAATAAAATAACCTTTAATATAAAGTTTTTGTTTCACTATAGTTTAAACCTCGTCAGTGGCAAATTTTGTATATCAACCGGAATCTTGTTATAGAAGCGTATACATTGCCCTTTAAATGAACTTGACACTTTGTGAAGACGACTATCAAGAACAGCTAGTTTATTTTTATTCCTCGTGTTAATGTTATGTCTGTCAATATTTTTCATAAAGAGATTACTATTCCTCTTAACATAGATTACATTTTCGTAGATGTACTGTGACGCTAGTGTAAGAATATTAATTTCCTTAAACTTATCTCTCAAAGATACTTTGGAGCCCAGATTGTAAATTGCCCTAACCGCACGTTTCTGCAGGACAAAGATTCTATTGATATCGGCGGCATTTCCCCAAAGCAAAATGCCGTACGTCATTAGACTGTGAAAGTAGCTGAAATAAACCAATCTAGCAGTTTCGACGTCTGAAAGTTTCCGTATTTCGTTAATGCTGACATTACTGCTTGACGGCAGAAATAGGTAAGGTGGCTGTTCTTCCCTGGGGAAACTCTTTCACAAGAAGTTCTACTGCTACTGAACATATTCATATTGTATGTGCTCGGAAACACAGTCGCAGGCAGGAAACTACATTGCTGGCCTGTGTGCATAATAAAACGTGACGCCAAGCGCTTAGAACGCCTGAAAGGACTTCGACTAAATCTGGATGATATTCCGCAGTACGTCTGAATGTCCTATGGTACAAGGTGGCGGACGGAATGAGCTAACAGAGCTCTTGAGCACTGACCTCCAACTCCAGGTGAGTTGGAGGCAGTGTTGCTAGACTTTTGCGAAATTAATTCGCCAATTTATGGGTACTAAGTAGCCTATATTCGCCCAAACCATAAAATCCTCAATACTCAAAGAATGCCATTTTGTTTGCTGCGGGGAATTGGGGAATATGAATTCATTTATTCCTCCAATTCCCCATACGTAGAAATACTCAAACTCCCAAATATGTACTTTGTTTTGCAATTCTATTCCCCACTCAAGTTTGTAATTCCAAAGACATTTTATTAAATAAAGCCTTTTCCTTTTTCGAAAATAGCCTAAATATCGCCGAGTTGCCGAGCACTTTTTTAATCGCCGCACGACCCCTCGAAGTAGTCTAAATAACATGTGACAGGACGAACAAGTCCACTCACTTTAAAACGCAAAGATCTTATGGGCGCTGCCGCTACGCCAGTCACCTTAAGACATAAGTTGACTAGTCCCGTGTGCGCGTAGTTTCACCAGCACCCTTACCCTTCTAAGCCGGAACACAGCAATGTGCGCTGCTTGGCAGCAGAAATAGATAAGTTCGCAGTACTTCCCTGGACGAACTCTTTCACAAGGTACTCTACGGATACTAAAAAGGTGCGAGTCAGTGAACCGTCTGGATGGCTGGTGTACGGTCTATGACCGACAATTCGCTCCATCTCAAAATTAGTGATTGCAAATCTTGTTGTAAATTTGGGCCCCTAGACATGAGGTCATTTAGACTTTTTCCTGATGAAGTCAAACTTTTTGCGTTAACAACCACGCGCAAGTGTACATTGCTGTTGCCATAATACCGACTACTACTAATAAGTACATCACAGTGTATTGATGTACATCATGAAATGATATATCTTCAGGCAGTGCTCTTTGTGACTTCATTTCTTCGATTTGTGTACGATGAGGTCGACGATGGAGCATGCACACCCAAATAATGCCTATTCACTCTCGCCTTGAAGAGTTCCTGGTTAGAGCGTTCAGGGAATATGTCTGCAGGAAAGGAATTCCACTCCATAGACGTTCGTCATATAAATGTGCAAGCGTAACGCTCCGTGCGAGTCTTTGGTATATACACAACATAAGGATATCTAATTAATGAATTAAATTTAGTAAAAAAAATCATATTATTAAATTAAACTACGACCTACGTGGTCCGTGGCTTGCTTACCGGTTTTCATGGTGTTCCCATCTCTGAGTTCCCGGGTTGGATCTCCGGCCGGGTCAATGTAAAACATAAATGTTTTATATTGTCTCGGGTCTTGGTTTGTGTTACCGTCGTTGTTTCCTATTTCCGTAACACGAGTGCTTTTGGTACTTACTTTGGAATCAGGGCAACGTACGTGATGATGTCTAATATTTATTATTTATATAAATGATTTATTAAAATTATTATGAAAATCGAATGTAGTGTAAATTGGAAGGTATAAAATAAAAATGTTAAAAAACAGTATATTTTTTATCGATGGACTAAAACAGGTCAAAATACACCCGACTGAGGGTTTATATTGGCTTTCAGTCCTGAGGTGAAAAATTTCTTTTCACTTCCATCGGGAGAAAAAAATAGTCAATTAAGTACGAGAAACGATTTCAGAGGTACATCGTGTCACTAAAATGGTCCATACACCAACGCACTCAGGCGGGAATAGTTATTTGTTATGCAAGGCTGCAAAGTTGTTGTTTGAAGCCTGTATTGAAACCTGAGCCAGCGAAGGAGCCCATCATTTTTATGTTGTAAAATAGAATCCTGAGCTTAGCGACGGTTCCAAGTCACGAGACGCAAAACAACTTTGTTGCCGAGCGAAACACATAACTTTTCACCTCACCACAGCGAGGAAAATGATAGATCAAAGAAAAACAGTTGAACTATAAACAAATCAGTTTTAATAAACATAATCTCAGTACAGAGTAGCAAAAAAACCGACCTCAAAAGTACGTGGAATTACATATAATTACCAAATTTTATTGAAATCGGTTACCGGAAAGTGCGCAACCCGGATTATCCCCTAGTTCGCCACTATACGGGACTTGACACGGAGATAATAAAAATCGGTTCGCCTTGAATTAGAGAATAGCAAAATCAACCATTAAAATAATTGCTCTTTATAATAAAATTTAGGCGCTTTTTATAAAAATGAATATTTATGCGTGAACAGCCACCTTTAGAGGTGGAAGATTTCCTTCAAAATTAAATGGGACCACTATGGAGGTACCCTCTTTCCAACAAAAAAGAATCATGTAAATCGGTTCACAGATACCGGAGTTATCGCGTAACATACATACGAAAAAAACATACTGTCGAATTGAGAACCTCCTCCTTTTTTTGAAGTCGGCTAAAAATTAGTTATCGTTACTAATTGTCAACATTAATAAGAATATTTTATTCTATACTAACGAATTTATATTACATAAACAATGTACGATAAATCGCGTATTTGACCATGTCATTATGTTTTTTTGCATCGAAAGAAAAAGTTAGGTGCACCACAGTCCATCGTCAAGTTCGAATTTCAAAAACTTTTTTCACCCTAGCGTGAAAAAACGCTTTTGCGCGGGATTTATAATGGGCAAGGAAGTCTTTCCGACCTAGTGAGGTGAAAAATAATATAGCGCCACCGTCTTTGCGGAAAAGGCATGGAATTAAAACCAGGCATAGTCTTTTTGTCACAAACTAGAGCAAGTACTGGCTGTTTGAGTTTGTCTAGATCACTCAGAGTAAATTAAAAAACTAAGTACTTTTTATTCCCTATGGATTAAACTATGCACTTTACTCCCTAGGGATTAAAATGATGCACTATAAACCCGCTACGTAAGGCTACAATAACGTACTTTTAGAGCATGAGAAGAGAAAAAGAATTTTTGTAATTATAGTTCAGAACAAAAAGTGGTTTGCATTTATTTATTTTTATTTTATTTT